TTACAAAATATACCTAATAATGTGTACATTTATATTAAGTGATATTCCATATCCCGTTCGCCCTAACAAGTTCACATTGTGGTTAGACGAAATTAAGTGACCCTGGCCTTCTCTGTCCAACCCTTCCACCAGGTTCCAGAAATGGATTCGAAATTTCCAATGATTACCGAAAAGTAGTGCTGAGTCCTCAAGCAAACAGAGCTCTTGGAGACCTTTCCACTGTCCATAATTGAATTGAAGATGTGGTGAAAAATCTAGAAGAGAATTCCATCTGAATCTGCATTCGGTATTGAAGGACGTGATGATGATGACAATCATAGTTGCCTTTCACCATCGACATTAGAAGCTTAAATATGCAACAGAGATTGGCAGAGAGGAATTGATCGTCTAGAAAATTTGGATGATATTGTAAGTCTTAATTTCATTTACATTTTCTAAATTTTGATTTTTTGAAGTATAAACTTGAGGAAAATGAACAAATGGATATGATTGAACTATTGAAGTGTAATTGACTATTGTTAAATTCCTATGACTAGAATTATATTTTGTTTGAATCTAATTTTCAGAAACTAATTATCCCTGAGATCTGATACCATACCATATAACTACAAACTTAATATGGGTGAAGGGATTCCAAATCCAATAGGTATATTGTAAATTATGAAAGGATTAGAGATTTCTATTCATTGATAATACATAATACATGTACTACAACTTAGATAAATACTGTAAGTTAGATAAATCCATTAGATTTTACTGTAGGTCTAATACCGTGTACTTGCCCATAATATATATAAATAAAAATTTATATTAATGATCATTAATATATAAAATTATACAATTGTAGATCTAACCACATTTCGGTTATTCCTCTACTAAAACACCACGGTAATTATAATATGATCTAACTTATACTAACTCTTTTAGATCTAACTAATACTAACTCTTTTAGATCTAACTAAGTCTAAAAGAATCTGAACAAAAAGTCTAACCGTTTATGATTAGGATTTCCATTACATATGTAACAACTAATCATATGTAAAATTAATTAAGTGTTATCTCATTCATATATTCAACAGAAAATTGTATGTGTATCTTTGTGCACAAACCTTAAGAGCAAAGAGTCTTCCTCATCACCATAGAACATGACATCATATGCAGGACCTTTATGTCCTTGAATGAAGCACATCGGCTCAGCAAGGGAAGCAAGAGGTTGAGAGCTACGTACAAAAAATCAAACAAAAGAAAACATCAGAGAGCTATGATAACGAGTTGAACTAAATCAGCAGATGGAAATCAATAGTCTGAAGAAAAAGAAAAATAAAACTGCTAATTTATTACTTTAGCAACTATATGATAATAAATCCTTGCTTATTCCTTACATCTGGTGAGCATTAGGGTTGATATGTTGTTCCTGTAAAATAAAAATAAATAAATAGATTCAGTAACGGCCGTCTTCCATCAACATTTGCAGATCTCAAATACACATTTTTAAAAGAAACATTGTCGGTCAGTTCAGTCTCCTGAGAACCTTTTTCGAAGCGATGCAAGACGGAATGGAGTAACTAGATACGGAGCCATCGCTAGAGGCAGCAATGAGTACATCGGCAGTAGGGTTTGTTGTTGATTTGGTTGGAGCGAATACAGTCCGGAAAACAGTCCTACAACCATTTTCTCTTTCCTGCAGAATCGAGCTTCTGTAACGATCCTCGTCCCAATCCCTCACATCTCCTCCTCTGCCTTCTTCCGTCCAATTCCACTTCGCCATCACTGTATCCACAATCCCGCCTCCTACGCGGCCTCCTCTTCCACTTCGCTTTTAATCTTTTATTTATTTATAGATAAACCCATTTATTTTGTCATATTTCAATTTTGATCATTTCTTTTCTAATTATTTGGCTTAACACCTGGGCAAGGATAATTTTTTTTTTTTTGTAACTAAAAAAAAAAAGAATAATATTTTTTCTAAAGATACAAACATACCAAATAGAACACAACTCGATTAGTCTAATTGCTCACAGTCACTACTCATTATTAATGTGGTTGAAGGTTCAAGATTCGAGTTATGTATTTTAATTTTTATTTACTTATGTATCATGTAACTTATTTTAAAAAAACATGTCAGAACGTGTTTGGGTCTGTAAATATAATATCAAATTTAGCTATGATGATACCTCCGGCAGTTAGTCGTTGCTAACCCCGTCATCCCCGTCGCGGATGAGCATCAACAACACGCATCCCATTGAAGCAATGCATGTTGTTCCTTCACGCCCTTGCATTTACGTTTGAATCTTCCTTCCTCGAATCCGACTTCAACCATCGCTATACACAGCGCTTCAGCAGTTCTTGTTTTTGGTCGGCTCGGCCCTGCATTTTTCTCTGATTCCGCTGCTTCCAGATGTGGAAGAGGACAATTCCGAGCATATTCCATTGTAGACCCGAAGCTAGCGATCCTGGAGTGATTTTATTTAGCTCGCTCTCTGCTTCCTTAAACGAATTGACCACGTTTGTATTAACTAGCGAACCAGTAGCTTCCATTGCCTCCCGGAGAACCCATTTGGAGTAGCCGCATCTGAAGAATAATCAATCAATTCTAGCCCCTGGTCACAGAGGGTGCATTCTCCGGTGATTGTCATTCCCCGACTGATTAACCTATCTTTCGTAGGCAGGTTACGCCAACGAACTCGCCACATGTTCAGTGCCACCTTCCCAATCATGTTCGCCCAAATGCCCCTGGCTAGCTCGTCCCTTGGGAGCTCCGGTCGGAGCGTTGTCGTTGCATTTTTAATCGAGTTTCCTGTTCCTTTCCCAATCCAGGTTTTGGAGTTGTGCACGTCGAGTTGGGCACATTTTGCGATCTGGGTACGCTATCGGAGTGTTGTCCTCTAGACCAAAGAGTCCCCCTATTTTAGTTCGATAATGTGGATGGGCCGCTCTTTGATGTATCTTTTACTCATCCAAGAGCTCCATATACCATCGCCCTCCCACATCCGGCAGGCAAGGTCCACGATTGCAGCTATCTGAGTTGCCTTGTAGTCACGCACACCTATTCCGCCTTGCTGCCTTGGTTTGATCATGTTTTTCCAGACGACTTCTCTCTGGCTACCCCATATGAATTTATAAGTTATTGATTGTATCGTTGATAGGGCCGCTAGGGGAACAATGTTGCTTTGCACGAGATAGCCGAACTTCCCCTGGAAAATCCAATCGACGAGCTGGACTCTACCCATGTAGGAAAGCTTCTTTCCGCTCCACCTCGTGAGCATACCTCTCAGTCATGCTAGGAGGTCGTCAATCTCTGTACCTCACTAATTTCCCAGTTAACGGAGTGCCAAGGTATTTGATCGGGAGTTCTGCCGACTGGAATCCAAATATCGCGATAAGGTCCGACTTGTCTGTAACACGCTTGGAGAAAATTATGAAGCTTTTTCTCGCAATTAATTTTGAATCCCGAGAACTCTGAGAATTCGTCCAACACCCTGCGGAGGGCTCTGATGGACTTGTGCGACGCCTGGCAAAAGAAGACCACATCATCTGCGAATGCCAGGTGACTCTCGACCATAGCTCTCCCGGACGTGTAGAGCTCAATTTTCCTGTTGCGCGACTGCCTGCAACATTAACCTGGATAGGTAGTCAGTTACAAGTACGAATAGAAGGGGGGAGAGCGGGTCTCCCTGTCAGAGTGCCCTCTTAGGCTGATACCGACGCCACCAGAGCTGATACCGACGCCGACGTGACGCACAACATTACCAGTCGTCGGAAGGTCTCATCGATCCCCATTAGTTCCATTGCGGCGTCGATGGCATCCCACCGGAGGGTGTCAAATGCCTTAGAGAAATCAATGGTTACATAGGTGTGTCTCGATGTGCTCTTGCAATTAAAGGATTGCGTGAATTCTTGAGCGAGCCCTATCGCGTCGGTTATCCGTCTCCCTCTGATAAATGCAGTCTGGTTGGGACTAATTATTCCCGGCAGGATGGCCATCAATCGCGAGGCGAGGATTTTCGAGAAGATTTTATAGGTCACCCCAGGCAAGATATGGGCTTGTAATCCTCAAGCCTCTCCGGTGTCCTTTTCTTTGGTATGAGAGTAAGCGTCGCCAGATTAAGTGATCTTAGCATTCGTTTCATGTTGAAGAAGTGCAGGACAACGGCTGTGACGTCGTTCTTGATGGAGCTCCAGTGGTGGGTTATGAGTTCTGAGGTCATGCCATCCATTCCCAGAGCCTTGCCGTTGGGCATGTTTTTGACCGCGTTCCAGATCTCTTCCCCGCTCGGCAGCTTTGCATTCTCCTCATCCGAAGGCCTGTTCTCAATAGTTATGTTTAAATTCGGCAATGGCGGGAGTCTATCCTCTGCCGCGTATAACTCAGTGAAGTATTCGATCGCTCTTTGCTTCATTTCAGCTAGGGAGTTGGTATGTTTGCCGTCGACGTCCAAAGTCCCCATTATTGAGTTCTTCACATGGACCCTAACCCTTGGTATAACTGTATAAAACATGGACCACATTCTACTACACGAAAACTGACTAAAAATGACGGATCAAAAATGGGGGAATTTTTTCTCATTTTTTTCGAAGTCAGAAATGAAGGAATTTCCGTCATTTTTAGCAAATTTTCGTCGATTTTTTTTTTTAAATGACGGAAAATATTAGTTATAAATGACGGATTTTCCTCATTTTGATGTATGTTATATTTTTTAAATATTTAAAATGACGGTGGAAGTGTGAAACCAATAAGAAATGACGAAAAATCCCATAATTTTATAAAATTGGTGGAATTTTTTTGCAATTTAGAATGTCAATAAAATTTTCGAGGTCTGTGATGAACTGATGTTGGAACATATATGTTTTGGAATTTCTGATAATGCATTTCCCTGATAGAAAATTCTAATAATGACCTTCTTCGTCAATATGGTTATTGTTTTGTTCATTGTAGAATTAGTATTTAATCTGAGTCGAAGCTACAATCTAGCGGTTCAATAAAAATATTGATTACTGCTATGAATGCATTTTCATATGTGATCATGCTTTCTTCTCTTTTAGATATATATTTTAAGTTTTTGTGTTGTTTTTATCATTTAGATTGTTGAATTGAATGAGGATGATTCAAAATTGAAAATTCTGGTCAAAGATCTTAGCAATATTCATGATGTTAGTTCTCAGAAATGGATGGTATTTAGCACTGATGGATCCAGATTTGCCACTGGTGGTGAGGTATTTATTATCTTTTCTATAATCGGTTTTTAAGACAATGTTTGAATGTTCATGTTAAACAGAAAAAACCTATTAATTTAACAGTCTCTGAATTTTTTTTTACGCTATCCTTACCATATACACTATCTTGTTGAAGTTTCTCTTTTATGTTTCACTATTTTAATTTTTCTCTCTTTCTCTAGGATGGACATCTTAGGATACTTAAATGGCCAAGCCAGAATATCCTCTTAGATGAAAGTAGAGCACACAAGTCTTTTAGGGACATGGACATCAGGTATGCCATCAAATGTTGTATTTTACTATTTTTTTTATAATCATTGTGATTTTGTCTAACTACTTGTTGGATCTTATATCTGATAATATTTAGTTATTAGTCATGTGATTTGAACAAATGTATAATCTCTGAATTTTTATGCAGCCAGCAAAAACCCAAATAGGTAACTAGGTAAGACTTAAGAGTGCTTTATTTATCGATAATGGCTTTTAGGGTGTAAATATCTTTTTATGCAATTGTGATTGAATGTTAGAGCCAGAGAAACCCTGCTAGAATTAGAACATAGGTTTAATTATCTCTCAAAACACCTAATTTCTTAGGTGATGTAGGTGAAAGGGCGAGACATTTATATGACTATATGTGTGTAGCAGTGAATTCATTTCACAATTTTCTATTGTGATGCTATGTTTTTTCATAGTATTTCTATAAGTTCGAAAGCTTTTCTATGTTTTCAATAATCGTGGGTAACTGATTGGTGTTAGTTAAGTAAAATAAAATAGATTTACAGAAGAACTAACTAGACAGGTAATTTTTGTATGTTTCTCTTTCTTATCTTTCAGCTTAGATTCTGTTTTCCTGGCAACAACCAATATTATGAAGAGAAGCAGATATACAGGTTAGGATTCGGTGTTTGATCTTATTTATAAGCAATCTTTTGTTGTTATTTTGATGCATGGTAATTTTGTAATTTTTCCATGTAAGATTTGTGTTTGACGATGAAATATCTATGTTCCAGAATAGATCACCTTTTGGGGAAGGATCTTATTGAGAATCTCACTGTTATGTGGTTCTCCAATCTGGTTTTTGAACCGTTATGGAGCCGTAATGTGCAGGTATACATACATACATACATACATACAAGATTTTATATGAATTGAAATTAGATATACACATATAAGATTTTGTTAATACATTACAATCACTTAGTTATTTTTTCTTATAAAATTATTTATAGGTAATCTTATCTGATGATACTCCTATTGAAACCCGGGGAAGGTAATACCATGATGTATTAAGATCCAAATGTAATCTTATTGCTTGTGCATATTTGTTTTCATGGGAAATGATGAGTAAACTGGTTTCTTGCTAACAGGTATTCTAATGGATATGGTATAATCCAAGACATAGTTCACAGCCATATGCTTTAAACAGTAGCATTATTTGCTATGGAGCCTCCTGTAAGCCTTGATGGGGAAGACAAGGATTGGTATTGCATCCTTAATCTCGAAGATAATCGCCTCTTCATTGACAAAGATTTAATTCTGTTAGGCGGTGGTCCGCTCTTTCCATATTCCCTATGTATCTCTTTTCATGTGTTTAAACTAGTTCTTAAACTATTATTGTAATTAAACGTTGATTTGAATTATTTATTAAATGCATTTTTTATTTTATGTTTTAAAATATTTTTTCATTTAAATGCGTGGTTTATTTCCAGGTGTTTTAATTGTAAAATATCTGAAATTATTTTGATTGTTTATTTTAATTTTTTTTCGAATTTTTCCGAAAAAATAGTCATTGGTTTTGGAATGACGGACCAAAAATGGAGGGAATTTTTTGAGTAAAAATAGAGTAAATTCCGTCATTTTTAGCGAGTTTTCATGTAGTTTTCGGTCTCCTACATTGCAATCTTACCCGAACCAACGGAACGCAGGTGGCCGTTGGCCCCCAACCTAGACGTTCAAGAAAGTTAAGGTGTCAAGTTAAGCACGACTTTTTAAGCTCAAACTCAGTCGGCATTATTTTATAAAATTCGAACACAACTCAGAATTTGATGATCTCTGCTTAAAACTTGAGACTGCAAATAATATAACCTCAAAAAAATTGAAAACAATGAAATGTATAGATCTAAAAAAAGATCAGGCTATATAAAAGCAAAAGTTTTAAGATCTATAGTCTAATCATACAGTCATGGAAAAGTAATAAGCAGAATAAACACACATTATAGATTTAAAGTATTTATTATACTATAGAAGAAATCTAGAACACTAGATCAGTATAATCCAAGAAAGACCAAAACCAGTGTGTTTCCTCAAGTAAGTCTCCACTTCCTGGGAACACCGAACATGTCAAAGACTCATGAAACTGGTTTATCGGAGCTCACGGACTCAATTTTGACAGGTAAAGTAACAGTTTCCGAAACCTTCAAGGTGGTTGTGTTTGATATCATAATCTCTATGCCATCCCCATGTTCAGGTTTCGATTCAGACTCAACAACCGTCTCCGTCTCCTGCTTCATTTGCAGATTTTGGGTATAGAATAAACTCGGCTTCCTGCAAATTAAAAGAGTAATTAATTAAAGAGACGGTGATGAATTGATGATCCATGACGGAAGGAATTGAAAAAGAAGGACGAGGATGTATATACGTACGGTTCGTCTCCTCTTTTGGCATTGAGAATATCCGCGTCGGAAGAATCACGGTCAAAACTTTCATCAGGATGCGGTTGTTCTTCTTCGTCCAACGGAAAGTGCGTCTCTGGTCTTTCATGAAACTGCACACTGGGAGCATGTTGGAGATTGGAGAGGTTTTCCATGATCTGAATTCTCACATCCTCCAGCATCTGCCGTGTGTTCTTGTTTTCCATGTTGCTAGGCGTGACGTGAAGAGTGTAGTCAGGTCCGAAGTACTCGTAGTATTCATTTTCCGGCAGAGCGTCTTCGATCTCCACCCCAAGAGCAACCCCTGTCTCGTAGCACCAGCATCTAGCAACGTTACGAATGGTGTACCCACCTCCCCCAAGAAGCAACAGAGGTACGTTGAAAGACCGCATGTACCTCACGCATTCGCCATGGCCTTTAATCGAAAGATTGAAGCAGCCCAGTCTATCTCCGGACAACGAATCTGCGCCGCACTGTAGCACCACGGCACCTGGTCGGAACATCTCCATGATTCTGCTCATAAGCTGTTTGAAAAGAGACACGTAACATTCGTCGTCGATCCCGTCGTCGAGAGGAATGTTTAGCGAGTAGTAATTCCCCGCCCCGTATCCGATGTCACGGATGTGACCTGTACCGGGAAAGTAATCCCCGTACTTGTGGAACGAAACTGTCATGACTCTGTCTGTTGTGTAGAACGCCTCCTCCACTCCATCTCCATGATGAATATCGATGTCGATGTAGAGCACCCTCTGCAAATTAACACCAGGTAGTCAGGTACCAGAACACAAAATATTAAAAAAATAGGAACAAGAACTATCGTGGTGACGAGATTAAGGTAAGGTACGAACCTCGTGTTGCTTGAGTAGCTCCAGAATGGCAAGGACGATGTCGTTAACATAGCAAAAACCAGACGCCTCGCACTTCTTCGCATGATGAAGACCACCAGACCAATTGATCGCGATGTCGCACTGGCCGTGATTCAGCTTTATCGCACCGCCTACGGATCCGCCGGCGTATTTCTGGCAGTAACTGTACAACCCATCAAAGACCGGACAATCCTCGCCGACATTGAACCGCTTCAAAGACTTGGCATGATCGTGCTGCGTCTCAGGTGTGATGGATTTCAGAAACGCTATGTAGTCGTCGTTGTGGAACCTGCAGAGATCGCGGTCACGGGCCGGGAATGGTTTTAGAACCTGCATGCTGTTTAGAAGTCCGTAATGGTTCAGGAGGGCGTGAGTCATCCTGATCCTGTGGGGCTTCATCGGATGGCCTTGTCCATAGTAGTAATTACCGACATCCGGATCGTAAAAGTAGCAAACCTTCCGCTTCGTCGCATCGCTGCCCACCGTGTTGGCTTGCGAATTGCCGCCTGTCTCCATATATCGATGCTCTGGAATCGAACAGAGAAACGGAATGGAATGAGGCTATGAGGGAGATGTGGATGCAGTCGGTGACTTTATAGATATGACGATTGAATTCCGGTGGGCCGCCGCCTGTGGGTTAATGTTAAAAAAACCTTCTTGGAAATGCGTTCTAAAAATCTCTACTGTGAATCATCCATCTATAATCACCATTCAGAAATCACGACCATTATACGTCAGGCATGACGTAATCACTTATATTTTGTTTAATATTATTAAATCGGGAAAGGTGAAGTTACCGCCTAAAGCACTCCAGAATCCAGATCCTCTCAGTTGTCCTTTGAAGACTCACCTCCAAAATACCAAGTGATTCTGTAGAGGGAAAAATAGAGGAAAGTGTTTTATTTAGACTTATGTTTAAAAATTAAAATCGCTACTTAACAATGGTTAAACATAATCATTCAATCATAAGAAGGAAATAATGGAATGGTACCATGGCAAGGAAGGTCGAAGTCGGAAGAGCGCGATGCGATCGAGAAACAACGAAGTAACGACAGAAGAGCGAAGCGACCAAGTAGAAGATTAGGGTTTTTAAAAGTTTTATATAGTAATTGTAATTATGGACCACATTGGGCCGTATTGGATTTAATCTGGATAGAAAACAGGTTTGGTTAAAATACCAGCTAACTCGAACTAAATGACAATCGATTTCAATATGTTTCGTTATAAATCAGATAATTTACCATATAAAAAACAAATTAATGGGAAGGCCGTCGGGCCGAAACATATTATACTGAAGCAGAAGACACTCCTGAAACTACCACAATCAAAGAAAAACCCTAGCTACATTAACAAGCAAAGGTTTTGATAGTGCGTGGGCTCACAAAAGAGTGTTTATACACGCAACTCTTAAAATCCGTTCTCTTAATTGTCAACTCTCTCCCCTGTTGGATCAAAAGAGTATTTATAATGTTAGCCCAGGAGGTCTACATGCTTCTTGGGCTTTCCCAAGTCTAGTCCATTCACGTGGCTGGGTCCGAAAACGGACGGTTGCATAACTCAAAATGGTGTTTTAGATTCTCTCCAGGGTTGAATCTTTAAGATACTTGTAGATTAAATAAACGATTAAACGGTAATTGGGTAGGTGATACGAAATTACGAATACAACAATCTGATAGAATTTGGGATAAACGGGCCGGACTAATAATGTGATAATGGAAAATAGGATAGGGAAAATATATCACGAATGTATAGGGTGTTATTCGTAATACATCCATAAAGAAACACCTTGCTGAATCCTCAATTTACGAACCCTAAATCCCCAAACACACCTTTGACCTTTCCCTCCAGGTTAATTCTCAGATCCGGGTGTTCTACTTTTTCGATCATAATTCCTTGCGCATGTCGATTGGTGGTTCTTCTTTGAGAGTGATGGAGGTTGAGATCGACGAAAAATCTATTGGTGAGAAAAAGATGCTTGAGTCCTTCTACCGGAGGGCATCGGAAGCTGAGGAGCGTCTAGCGAGACTGGAGGCGACCATAGCATTAAAGCAGGACGAGTCAAATAATGGATCAGACAAATCGAGCCAGGAAATATCATCAATGGTGGATCATTTCAAATCCAATCTAGATATTGCTCAAAACGACCTCACAACTGAGCGTGAGAAGGCAGCCACGGAGATTAAAAAACTTGTTGCAGAAAATGCTAAGCTTCGTTATCGTATATCGCATATTCTTCGGGCATTGAGGGAGATAGACCATTCTTCACCACTGCTTAACCAAGATGCTTGATTTGATGTTTCTTCTTCATAGGTACTGTTTGAATTGGATCTTCATGATTTTTCTATCAATTTGAATCGTTATATTACTTATCTATATATATTAATTCTGTCATCTCTATTTTTAAAAGAAGCTTGAATTGTTAGTTCTTTGGAGTTTTGATTGCTGCACAAGACATTTTATTGAGAAATCAAATCATTGTTTATACTTTACAAAAATAAGAGAGAATTTTCTGTTTTAATTTCTAAACTTTATTTAAATTGTCATTGTTTTTTAATGAAATTTAATTAAATAAAAAAAATCATTGTCGGCAACATTTAAACATTCAAATTATTGAATTTTTTTTTTAAAGTATTTTACATAGATACAGTTTATACCCTGAAAAAGTGAAAATCTTAATCTACAGTATTTTATTTTGTATAGTAAATTAGTAAATACTAAATAAGTAACCCTAATAAGTAAATGTTCTGAAAATAGAAAATGTTGATTCCAGAATGGGTAAATTTATAGTTAAGCCCCTATATTTTTTTTTGGAAATTAATGTCGGCAGTAGGCAAGAAGCAATTATTTTCCGAATCAAATTTTCCGGTGTCTCCACGTTACATGTCGATGTCGAGATGCCGACAAT